ATGAAGGAAGCTTGGTTTAAGATGTATACCTCTAGATGTTGCTTATTAAGACTAAGTGCTGATCATGGTATAATACTTTAAGGTTGTTTTTAAGAGCAAGATAAACAGTTAGAAGAGCCTTTGAGATAAAAATTGCCTATTGAAAAGTTTGAGAGTATCTCTGGAAAATTTCCTGTAACGAGCAATAAAATAATTTTCCCAGACAAAAAATGTCAATCATAAAATTATTCCAAAGATGGAATAAAAATATTTCATGTTGACCATAAATTGCAGGATATGCACAGCCTCAGTTCTCAAGATGTGTATGTATACTATACTGTATGTAATATAGTTTGTCAATTGCTATGTATATTACAAAACTCCAGAGAGCACCTTCCACAACGCAGTCTACGTAAATAATATTTCTGGGCAGTTGAATGCAACAACCCTATTTTACTTTTATCAGGTACTATAATGTATTCAATGACATATATACTACAGTATACTATATATGATTTAAATTATACATAGTGCATATCACAAACATATCTATGATAAAGGGTAAAAACACTAGGGTGCTTTCAGAATGTATAAAGTGCTACTCCATGTGACCAATTTTTTTTTCATACAAAGGTATCTTAGTCACTTTCTCATCCAGCAGTCATGATACTCAATGTTCAAAACTTAAGAGAGATTTCTTCTGCCTCATTCTCTGGAAGTTTTAGTACCCAGATCCAGGCGGAAGCAGTACAGAAGGGTTGGGAAGAGGAAAGCTCCTTGTCTCAAGCAAGGATCTGGGAAGGCAGATTCATCCTCCCAGGTCCTGCCCACATTCACTGGCTTCTGCCCAGACCCCACCTCCTACCAGCAAGTCAGCTATCACGCCCTGTAATCCAATCACCTTCCAAACATCATGGCACCTTCAGGACCATTTTAGATAGAAACCATAACAAAAGGTGAATTTGCTAGAAAAGAACTAACAGAAATTCAAGAAAGGGAACTTCTTGAAGTCCCAACACCTTGCAGTGTTTGGTCCACTGCGAAACATGGGGCCATTGAGAAATATAAAATGCTAAATAAAATTACACCTCTCAAATTACCAAAATCCATTAACATTTTTTTCCACAGTGTAACAATGAAGCCAGCTTCTAATTTTGTAATATGCAGAACCTCATCTGGAAAAATTTGGATCTTTAAGGATCAGCAGTGTCTCCCCTGTACCTACTGCCAACACCCTAACACCCCTCTTGTGGTTAGTCCTACCACTGAGACCCAAGGGGGCCCTGAGGGGTGAGCTCAGCATATCCAGGAAGGTGTAATCCAGCTTTTCTGCAGAGCAAGCAGCCCTTGCAAAGTACCAGGATGGCATCTTAGGAAGGGGATGATCATTATCCACTGGGCTGGCACCAAGGACAAGGCTGGACTAGAGACAGGAGACCAGGCTGATAAACTACTGGAAACCTGATTACACATGAAATGTGTAATCTTAGAGATTGAACCCGACCCTGGGAAGTAGGAATAGCCTTTGAAAGACTTTAGGCTGAGATCAGCTGGATGAGATTTATGTTTGAGAAAGGTTCCTTTACCTGAGATGAGGCACTGTAATGACAAGAAATAACTCGGGTATAATCTCAATCTGATCATTTGTTGCCATATTCTCCTTGAAATAGGTCTTGCATCAAAGGAGATCTGGTTCAACCACATGGACTACCAAGGTCCTGACACTGCACTGAATGTCCTAGGCAGCCTGGAAGGAGAATAGTTTACTAGAACACATAGCGCTTCCCTTGAAAACCTCCATTTAATATATATTTTGGTTACCTTTGTCTTGTTGCTGAGACAAAATACCTGGCACCCAATGTCAGAGGAGGAAAGGTTTCTTCAGCTCACAGTTTGTAGAGGTTTCAAACCATCATCAGGTGGCTCTGAGGAGAAACACTGCCTGGTGGGCAGAAGGCAGCAAAACAAGCAAAGGGGCCTTCAATGTCTTTCTGCCTGCTTAGTCTTATCCAGGCTACTCAGGGCAAGGAGCACACACACCCTTAATCCTAGTGCCCCTGGTTCTTGCATTGCACAATCAACCAAACAGCATCACACACCCTAGGTCCAGGCACCTCTAAAAAAGCCCCAGCTATGACTGCATGAGGCTTTGAGAGGACATCCAAACACCAACCATAACATGTTTTCTTCTGTTTCCAACTACTTCCTTCTCACATCTAGATCCTTTCCCCCCTCTTTGAGCCATCCAACCCTACCTTCTATGCTTACATATCTCATTCAGCAAAACAAGAAACCAATGGTTTCCCTATCGGTGGTATGAGTTTACCACTAGCAGTGAGAAATGATCTCAGTTTAACACACTAAGGTAGCTGTTTCAGGGATGGAGAAAATGGGATACATACTGTGCAGACAAAACCAGCAGGTTTTAGTGACTGATCACATCAGAGAGGAAGAAGTCAAGGCAAATTCTTTCCCAAAGGTCATTGTCCTAGGCTAAGTTTTTACGCATTTACTGATTGGATGTTTATTGTATTCACATTGTATTCTCCCACTCCTTACTTCCTGTCCAAATCTGCCAAGTGGATTGGAGGAAACCTATTTGTGTTTCGAAGAGCCCAGACTCCACAGGATCCGCAAAGGCCTTTGATGCTTGAGTTCTTGTGTATCTGGACACGTATCATCAACTACAGCCCATGGGTCTCTCCTCTCTCCACACTAGACTAACTATAGACTTCAGGGTTAGGCAGTGAGTTGATTTATTATCCATCTTTTGTTCATCTACTACCTTAAAGAAACAGATCAACTTCTGCCAGCTCTTTCACTCTGGTCAAGCCTCTCTTCCCCAGAACATCTGTCACACTTTCTCTGGCATCTTGCCTGTCTATGCAGAGTGCAGAAGCACTTTCTCATATTACATCATATTATTTTGCTTATCAATTCAGTATAAACTGTTTCCTAACTATGCCCCTCCTATTACATAGGCCACAACTCCGTGCGGACAAAGGCTATATCTTCTCTACCTTAGAATTCTAGGGATCCAGTCCGAAATCTTCTCAAAACCCTATTTACTGAATGAATAAATACTAATGGGTAAATAAAAACTCAGATCTAAAATGTCACACTGCAAATCCAGTGCTTTGTTTTGTATCTCAGATAGAGTATCACTTTTCAGTGGAGGGCAAAATACTTAGTGCTATCATCAGATGATCGAGTTTTTCCTAATCCAGTGCTGTGGAAAAAGATATTAATAAAAGAGGTAGGTTGCCATAGATATTAAAAAGACTGTAGTATCAAGCCTATGCCACTTCCTTTTCAAAATGTTCAGTTACTACATGCAGTGCACGATAGTTAAAAGTTTTAGTCCTAATGCACAGCTGTAACTCGTTACTTAGCTGAAGGAGGATCACAAATTTGAGATCCTCCTTCACAACCTGGAAATTTAGCAAGATCTTGTCTCAAAAAAAAAAAAAAAAAAAAAGCTCAGTGGCAAAGTGCTTTCCTAACATGTGCAAAGCCCTGGGTTCAATTCTCAATGTACAAGCAAAAATTTAAATTGAGCATAAAGCCATATCATTCTTGTACTGGGTTATAAGCACCTTTAAGAATGTTCTAGAAGACATATTTTCATGTAAATATATTAGTATATCAATAAACAAGAACACTTATTTGGGAATAAATTCAATTGGAAATATTTGTGGATGTATCCGCTGTCTCTTTCCTATCTATGCGCAGACTCAAAAAATAAAAGAAGCAGAATATAAATCTGCTTTCTTCTCATCATTGATTGAGAAAGGTGCTGAAAACTGATAACAATTCACTTTTATGAACGTTTCTTAAACTGTCTTTGTTGATCTAGACTCTATTAGGAAGAATTATCAATACCTCAAATTTAAATAGTAGCAATCCAACCCATGTTAAGTTTTCTCTAAATATCTCTAAATAAGTGCTTCTCTCCCATAAGGTGACGAAATTAAGTCAATGAGTCAAGGAAGCTGCAACAATGTATTTATTGGAAACGACATTACATTAACCTGATGAAGATGTAAAATGCATGGAGTATAACTGGTACATTTTTTAAAAATCACAAATGAAAAAATCATTTTCAAAAGAAAATGATGTAAGTCACCTATATGAATACCATAATGCAACTCATCTTGATTAAACTTCCAGAATAAAGTTTACTTTAGACTGGATAACAGAAAAGATTTCCTTCCCCAACTAAAAGTTCCTTCCTCTCAACTGCATATCACATCTATAAGGCAATTTTCATCACTTGACAGGAAAACATGATGTCATAATTTTGTTTAAAAAAAAAAAAAAACTCCTACAAATAAGGAAAATTCTAGAGAACCCAAGCAACAGATCAATTAGTGGCCCTCAACTAAATGGGACACCTAGAATCAACATTCTCTAGAACCCACAAGTTGCAGTTAAGATTTTATTAGTAAGATTTTATTGTCACTTAAGAAACCACCTGGATTGAAGGACATGCTGATCTGTAATGTCATCACATACATTACGTACTGAAAGGGTTTCAGATATTTTTTCATCTGTTCATCAAAACTTCCTGAAACCTTTACTCTTGCCCTCTTTCATAAACTTCAGCTTACACATAACAAAATCTCTTTGAAGAAAATTACCCCAAATAACCCATCTGTGGAAATACAAAGACTACAAAAGAGCAATGAGGATGAATACTGGTAGGAAAGGCAAAAATGCTACATCAGTTTTTAGAGGCACTATTGTAAAATCACCTAGGAAATGGATAACTGCATGTGTTCTCTGAAAGTGACTATCCTCCCCTATAGCCAGCACGCTTGAATATCCCCTACTAAGCTCTGTGTAGGTAGGTGACGGAGTTGGGAGCCCAAAGGCAGAACCGCAGGCTTTTCATTGAGCTGATACAACTTTCTTTTTTCTTCCCGTTGGTTTTCCTTGTTTTTTTCTTAACCGTTTCCCGTTTTTAATTTTTCAATTGAAGGGAAAAAAATCATTAAGTGCTTACTAGCATCTCTCCAGTGGCCAAAGGGGGGAAAGGATTTCAACACAGTAAGTCACCTGGACACATCAATCATGACAGTATTTCATCATCCTAAATTGATGGGAGAGAGATCTAAGAGAGCTACGTTTATGGCTAAACTTCATCACTTGCTAACTGCTGCTCACCACTGTGTAGGTCATTTATATAAACAGGCAGAGAACTAATCTGAACAATTTCAGTCCTAAATCAGTGGTGGCAAACACCTGGCATGCATGCCACAGGAGGCCGTTTGTATTACTGAGAGCTCCCAAAGGGTTATCAACACTGGCCTTGTATTTTTGAGGCCTGTTATTTCCAAACAATGCTGGTCTAAACTGTTATAAAATTAACAACCCTGTTCTTTTTCTTTACCTTGAGCCGGAGAGACTCTTCCACAATGTCATGCTTTCTCCTCATGTACTTCTAACGTGAAGCCTAGTTAGACTCAAATGCATGAAGATGCAACACGCTGATTGGCACAAAGCAGGGAGAGGGAAAAAAAATCCCTCACCTTCCTAGAAAACCCACAGGAGCACGACTAGCAGCCATCTTCCTCATACAGACAACGTCAGCAGAACCAAACACAGATACACAAAGTGACAGAAAGGGTTTCACCTTTCCACCACTGAGTGAAACATGCTGCTCTTTGGAGAAAAAAATACATTCATTTTGTTTTCAAGTATATCTCAATATACAAAGATGCTCTAGCTTTATTTCACTTTATAAAGACAAAAAGATTTTACATGTACCCAAGGAGAATTCCAGTTGAACTTCTTGGGTGTGGATTTCATGAAGTTCAGACTTAAAAATAATTGCCTTCTAAATAAGTCTACTCATTTTATTTGAAAGCGGGAACCCTTTATGACTATTTTATATATATGTACATAGTCAGCAACAAGAAAAACCAGTCTGTATCTGTACAATGGCTTAGGATTGGCATGCTCTAATGAGAGCGGCAGCTGCCTGCTGGCTCAGCTCAGCCCAGGCGATAGGTGGTTCCTCCAACATAGGTGTCCTTCTGGGGCCAGGGGGACACTGGCCTTTCCTCCCTGGGGCTCTCAGAAGCACCTTCTGCTCCAACCACATGTCCTGAATTATGGCTTATTTCCTATCTTAGCTTTGTTGTTAGGGTTGCAGTTGAGTTCCTTCAGCAGTGATTCACAGTTGGCCAGGGCATCGGCTGGCAGAAGCTTCCGGATTTGCTCCACTGTCTTTTGATAAGCCACTTTCTCCTGTTCCAGGGTCCGGATTAAAGTCTTCATTTTGGTCTCTCTGGTCAGAAGATTTTCCAGGTTTGATTCTAGGGCCTGGATCTTAGCATGCGCCATCTGTTAGGCAAGGAAACAAAACAGTCCCCCAGCTCAAGACTTTGAAGTGTCTTGGTGTTTATTATAGCAGCAGCCAGGCCTCACACATATTAAGTAATTATATGCAATTATTTAAGAAAGTATGACAAGATGCAAATGTCAGAATCTACCAGATTTTTAGGTCCCTCAAAAATGTAACTAAGACCACTAACATGATTCATCTCCTCTCACTGACTATAGCAACAACGCAGGGCTGAAACACCACTGTACAAACTGGGGTCCTCACGAGACACTCTCTGGGGTGACAAAGAGTGAGTGAGGTGTGACCTTCCTGAAAAGGAAGCCGGAGATTGTTGGCATGGCCTGCCAGTGCCAGTGCACAGCCCTCTGCCTGCACGTGCAGGGCTCTCTAAACACATCCTTGGAGTCCTGTGTGTTCTGATGGGCATCAAAGGGTCCCCAAGGAACTTGATGACTACACGAAAGTATCACTGAAACCTCAGTAAGAACTAAGAACAATCATTAATATAAAATGGGTGCAAACTCTCCACCTCTGAGGAGATGCTGCCTTAATCATTCTTCAAATATCCAAGTGATAAGAGAGAACTACATCAATTGTTTTTTTAAAAGAAGAAATTATATTGGCTCTATTTTGAATAGAAAAACCTGAGAAAAATTTTATGAACCAGAGCTCCTAAGATGAAGCAGAAGTTCAGAGCTATTCTTAGGGACTAATCATTTCTTTGTTTCTTTACCTGTAGCTTTTCTAAGAGGTCCATGTTCTGTCTTTTCAGCTGGCTGTTGGCCCTCTCCAGCTTCTCCAAAGGCTCGTTATCCTCACAGGCATATGATGATTCCTGGAGCTCATCCTGCAGCACATGGTATTCCACCTCATAGGCGTGCAGCTGTTTAGAAATATCCATCTCAAAAACCTGCCACAGAAACAGCTGAGGTCAGTCTGGGCTTTGGTACCCACATTTTCTGGGTGTATGCTGTGCACCCAAAATTCTGTGTCCTTCGTACCTGTTTCCAAATAGTTATTAATGAGAAATATGAAGAAGGCACAGACACACGAAGAAAAAAGAGATGTACTGGCAATAGAAGAACAATTAGATCACAGACTACTTGTGCTCAACTGAGACATTCTCGTGGCAAGATCGAGACAGAAAAAGAAATTAAATTTCAAGAATGCTTTGCCACCAAAATAAAAATGGTAGTTATGGACCAATTATTACCTATGTTAGAGGCAGCTGTTGCTGGCCAGCTAGCAAAGCTACACAGAGTATTTCTGTGATACAGAGACCAAAAACATTTCCAATGTATTTATCAATGGAGCGGAAAGGTCTTAATGGTTCCACCATGTGCTCTTCTATATAAACCTCTTGTGAGTCCTTTATACATCCAACCCCAAGAGAATCCTCAAAACTGCTCTCTGAGCTGTATGGTTTAAGTGGGCTGCTGTCACTCACCTATTATTACAAAAAAGGAAGAGGCATGGGTCTGTTACTGATACCCTGAAGGGAATAAAGAAACCACAAAGAAGAAAAAAAGAAAAAGAAAAAAAACCTGACCCTATTACTAGAGAAATTCCAATTTTAGAACTTCAATAAGGGAATTTCTAGACTGACTTGTCATCCTCTGAAATTGCATCATTTTTTCCTTGCCTAGCAGGTATGATGTACTATTATACACTAAAAACGATCTGCAAATACTTGTAATCCTCTGGGAAGCTGAGGCAGGAAGGCTAGAGTGTAGCTCAGAGTGAAGGTCCTAGTCTTAACCCCCACAACAGTGGATGATGGGGGGGCTATGGTTTTGTTTGCGTAAGCATGAAAAAATATCCAGCACTTTACACATATTTTAATTAAAAATCAAGTCACACAACAGGATTTACAGTATGTTTTGACTTACAGAAAACTCTATACATATTTATGTGTCTATACAAGCAGAGGTTTGTGCAGTAGGCCATCGCAAAGACCATCCTGGATGTTGAGTCTGCACTTTTATTTTCCTCTTTGTGCTTTTCTGCTCTATTTGTGTTTCTTTACAGTGTCCATAAATAAAACTCATCAAGGTCTCTTTCAATATCAGCACTTCATTCCACAGTTAATTAACCCCAATTGTCAGGCAGTTCTCTCTAATATCAAGTCCAAAAATACCTGACTATAAATTCTATCCATTAATCCTAGTAGTAATCTGTAAAGCCAGGCAATCCCTTCATTAATTTTGGAGACAAGTAACATCTGATCTCAGCTTCCAAAACCACACTTCTCAACAGTTTGTAAGTCAGAAAAGGGTGTTTCTGAGAAATAAACAAGCAGGTAGGTAGGCTAAAAGCCACACTCTCTTGCTTCCAGAATATCTGAATACATCGCTGCTCAGCTTTTTGGCTAAGACAAGTACAGTGTCTGTTCTTATCAGAATAACTTAATACATAAAACTACTGACAGATTTTATAAAATAATCTGTGATTTAGATTTCATACAATGGAAAAATGATTTTATATATGATAATATGAGTTTATATTCTTGTATTAATTAGAGCATATGAAGTGGAACAAATCTATTTGAACCAAGAGGAAGCATTTTGAAGGGGATTACTGGCAATGTGTATTTTACTAAAATAATTCGTGGTACACTTTAACGACCCCTGGGTATCTTCCACTTGCCCGTTCAGCATGAGGGAGCAGCTTCCCCCTGTTCTGCTTCCTGGGCACCCAGGCATCTGGGTTAACGGCCCTAATGTTTCCACCTCTGTAAATGTTCCCACAGAATCATCAGAGCAGGCCCAGGCTCCTGATGTAAGTTTCACAAACTTCTTGGAACATTACTGTCTTACTTTGGAGCTGAGAAATAATAGGGTTCACAAGTGCAGTCTGGCAAGTGTACGCCACACAATAGAAAAGTTACTGACACAGTAATGCCATGTGTATATACAAAGTAGTTAGCACAGATACACAGCTACTTTCTCTTAGTTCAATGAGAAGAAAGTATGAACTAAGTGTTTAGACAAGATAGCATCTCCATATCTAATAGGCAATGTATTAATTATTGTAACTGTCCTACCAACCTGTTTTGAAACTGCCTCACTGCTACTTTCTCAATAAAATTAATATAGAAAAGTAATGCCAATTAATAAATTTTAATGAAAACAAGCTAGAAGATTACACAGACCATTGTGTTCTCTCATCACATGGCCTCCTTGTATATTCTACAGCTCAATGGTATTACAAAACAGACCCCATTTTATTCTCAGATCTTCCTGATTCTGTAAGGTCTTTGATCTCAGCACTGGCTTAAATTGAAAAGCTTCCTAGGATTCATTCTGTAACACTAACCTACATTTCCTGTGCAGAGCCACACAGACAACATCCTGCTATGTACGTTTCACAATGTTTTATTTCTAAGTAAATCTGAGAAACATAAACAACAAAAAAATCTTGAAGATAATCATACCTGTCAAACAAAACTACATTTCAGTGCTAAAGCATTTAATATGCAAGCCATAGAGGAATTGCGATAACCTTCTATTTTTCATTATTATTTAAATCATACCTGGGTAATAATTTTTTCCATTTCTGAAGTGTTCATATCAGGTAGCCTGCTTTTTAAGAATTCAACAATGTTCTCAAAGCTTTCACACTGCATGATGCATGTCTCTTGGCTGCTTAGAAGGCTCAATGCAACCTTAAATATAACTTCAGTTCCCTGAAGGAAAATGATATCTGAAAGAGACAACTGAGATTATCAAAACTGTATACCTACTATCACCAAAAGAGTACTGTGTGTGTGTGTGTGTGTGTGTGTGTGTGTGTGTGTGTGTGTTATTCCTCAAGCAGAACTAGAGATTATTTTGCAAAAGAAAACATCTGGCCAGGAAGATAGCTCAGTGGTCTAAGCACCTGCCTGGCAAGCCTAAGGACCTGGGTTCAATCCCTGGTACCAGATGCCATGCCAGCCACCAAAAGCAGGCGTGGTAGTGCACACCTGAAATTCCAGTACTGGGAAGGGTGAGACAGGAAGGTCACTATAAGTCTATGCTGCATAGTGAGACCTTGTACCAAATAAGTAATAAGAGATTTTAAAAAAAGAATATTTGTGACTCAAAAAATGTTTGCTTGTCCTTATAAATTTTTCTTTTATTTTATGAAGGGTTGGGTGACCTCTTTTTTAAAAAATTATATAACTGAAACAAATCAATGGATGTCTGAGTATCCCCTATTCTTATTAGGAATCTCAGATAGGGTTAAAATAAAAATAGACAAATTTGCATATGGTGATCTATATATTGTTTATAACTTGCATAGCACATTTAGTGGAAAATGGATAAACATCAAAGATTCAATATTTAAATTTTTCTTCACAATACAACATAAAAACAAACTGACATAACCAATCAATATTTTGAAATTCTCATAATAGCAAGTAATCCAGTTAATATGTGAACAGCAAAAAATTGAAGGAAAAAAGACTTAAAAGTAAAATCAAAGCAAGTATTAAAAAAAAAAAGTATCAAAGACAAAAAAGAAAAGCAACCCTTAATCTAAACTCTGCTTCCTTGCAAATACAAACATGCAAAGGTTTTGAAATATAGCAGATACAATGGTATGGAAATTTTTCTCAATATATAGGCCAATCTTCTGTCAAAAATATACAATGGGGAGTCTTTAAAAAAGGGGAAGTGTACGAGAATTATTTCGAACATGGTCATTCTTTTTTCTCTTGCATCCTTTTGTTTCCTGAAAGTCTTTTTTTTACTGGAGTCAAAGGAAAAGACTGAGTAATTATCACATAGCTGACAGTTTCAGTGACATAACAAGGACAGACTGCAAGAGCATTTGTTTCTTGAATTCCTGATATCAAGCTTCCAAGGGCAAGACAATGAGAGCCACCCTGCAACATTTGTCACACTTGATAGAGAAATACATATGGAAAAGGACTGCACATATTTCTCTGAAAATTACATATATAAAAAAATTTCTAGAAGACTCATTAATAAGAACTCAACCTCCAGAGAGAATTTCAAAAAAACAATCATCTCTGTTAAATAAACAAGAGAAATCTGGCACCAATTTGATTTAGTGAACTTGATTTTATTCTCTTGTGACACTTTGCTTACTGACTGTAGTCCACTAATCCAGTGTACACTGAACCACAGCCCTCCTCATAGGAAAGACTGAAAATTATAATCATTACATACATGTGTCACACACATCCTCAGAACTGATGCTTTCCCAAGAAACACTCTTCCTACTTGTTATGTTCTTTCATTTTTAAAATGCTAGTAATGACTTACAAGTGGGCCAGTACTTAAATTTGACCCAAAGCACCAATTCAGCACAAGCACCTTTGAGAATGGACACTGATGACTTTCACTTGAGGCCACTGAGATCCCAAACAACATCACTAGGACAAAGTTCTGGTGAAGAGTTACTGTTCTTATTTTTCCTTTTTCTTTTAAAAGACAGATTTGGACAAACCTAACCAAAAACTTTTAAACAGATTTAGAGACCCCTAAAGGGAGTATAAATCATGTCATATTTCTTTTTATCCAGTTTCAAGCACTATAGTCAGAGTAAAATAGGAGCTCAGTAACTTCCTCTGCCTATGTTTAATATCTTTTATGAGCTACCCAATTTTAGAGGTGACAACCACCCCTACACAGGCATGATTGAAGTGTCATTAAACCAAGAAATAAGAACAAAAGTAACTGGGTCAGCAACCAAAAGTCAGATTGAGACACGCCATTAGAAGTAATATTGATAACATAAAAAGATACACATATAAAAAGATTTCTAGAAGACTCATTAACAGGATCTCAACCTCCAGAGAGAATTTCACTGGAGAAAAACAATCATGTTTATTAAATAAACAAGAGGAATCTGGCACAAATTTGATTTTTTTTTTTTTGTTTTTGCAGAACCGGGGATTGAACTCAGAACCTTGTGCTTGCCAGGGAAGCACTTATTCTACTGAGCCATCTCCCCAGCCCCTACCAATATGATTGAGTGCAACTTGATTTTATTCTCTTGCTAAAATTTATTTATTGATTGTAGTCCACTAATGCAATAAGAGAACACGGTTCTTTATGTTTTAAACCCATGTTCAAGACAACAATGGGGAAAGGGGACAAAAGAACAATATCAAAAAACAGAGACATGATGTATATAAAAATCAAGGGGCTGAGGAGATAGCTCAGTGGTCTAGGAGCCTGCTTGGCAAGCACAAGGACCCAAGTTTGAAGCCCAGTACCAGGTGTTATGCCAGCCCCAGAACCAAGGGTGTGCTGTGCCAGTCACCGAAACCAGGTATGGAGGTGCACACCTGTAATTCAAGCACAGGGGAGGCTGAGACAAGAAGATCACTCAGAGTGTGAGCTATGCAGCGAGACCCTGTACCAAATCAATAAATAATTTTAAAAATCAGTAAAACCATATGGAGTATGCCCCTTATCCACATTTTTAAAAGTATACTCTAACTTTTAAACAAAAATAAAAATAAGGGGGGCCAGGGAGATAGCTCAGTAGAATAGGCGCTTGCCTGGCAAGCACGAGGTCCTGAGTTCAATCCCCAGTACTGGAAAACAAAAAAAATAAAAATAAGAACTTTTACACAGTTTACTCAAATATAGGAGTCCATTTTTTCTATTGAATCTTAAGTATACTTAAGACTTACCAAAATGGTTTTAAATTCCTAGAATAGAACCAAGTACATGTATTTAATTCTATTAGCAATTTGCTATTCTGTGTAACACATGATAAAGTAATCAGGTATCACAGGGCTAGAAGTACAGCTCCTGAAATAAACAACAATCAATAGTAACAGTAAGAGTCTCTTACCAAAGACTCTGGCTACGAATCCCAGTGGAAACTGAGAGGCGAACAACGTGAGGAACCAAGGGGCTGCGTAGAGACTGGGGCTGATTTCATTTTCTTCAAGATGATTATAGAGTTCTCTGTGGTAGTCATGGAGGAGCCGGGACAGCTGGTACATTTGAATCTGAAGTTAATTTGGAGAAGAAAAATAAAATACTGTGCATTTTTTTGAGTGTGTGTGAAAAATACTAACTTAAATTTTATTATCCTAATATTTAATAACAACCAACATATATTCAACAGTAGTAAAAATAATATGACTTGATTTTCATTATGATTTTAAAGTTGATATTCAAGCCAAGTTCACTCAACTGAGTTTATAAAGCAAGTCATTCTAAGTCTACGTAACTCTCTTGAGCAACACTTTCTACTATGACTGAGTACAGTGGACACACCTGGCAATAAGACCTTCCCTCTGGAAGAGGGCACTGCTTTTAGAATTTAATCTGAACTCTCCTGGCCTCCACTGTAAAGATCCTACATGTTTGCAGCAAAGCCTGAATCTATTCTCAGGGTGCACAATTTGGTCCACGATAGAGTTCTGGTCAAGGCCACATTGCTAAGATGGAACAGAGGCTCAGAACGTCCCAGAACCACAATCTTGAGATGTCTTGTCTCACACCCAAGTCATTCCAGCAACATGCTTGTCGTGACAAAGGGGATTAAAACGGTGCAACTGTTTCTGAATACCACTCGAAGTAGAAGGGAAAAACATTTCATTTGACTACTGAGTTGACTACTAGCATGTCAGAAAACATTTTAAAGACATCCTGTGATGTCTGTGACATTCAACATAAAGCAACAGGAAATAATAAACAAATTTGTGAATTGTGCTTTAATTTAAACTTTTATCCACGTAGCCAAAGGACGAGCAGTGGTTCTGTGTTCAATGATATAAGATAGACATTTTGATGTGACATGTAGAAAATGTTTTATTAAATCAGAGTAATTTCTTTCACAAGAAGAAATCCTTAACACATCACCTTTACATAGGCAGCACTATGAAAATGCCTACAAATAACCTAATATATTTTGAATTCAGCAATGTTTCCAGAGCATAAATGAGGTGACTCCCTTGGAGAAATAAATCATAAAGTACTATACATAAATATAGCAAATCCTGCTTGTTACCTACAACATACACACTTGGAAACTGTTCCCACAGAAACTGTAAAAAGAGGAAATCAAAAGGCCACAACAAATTTTAACTACAAAATAAGTAGCTGAGCTAAAGTTAAAGTTTTTAAGTGAAATTAATATCTCAAGTCATGTTGAAAAAAAAAATCATCTATTTCTCTCAGGCCATTTATAGTTTATCTATCAGCAGAAGAAATAAGGCATTCTGATTTTCCTGGACAATTGTGATCATAACAAAGAAGCACTAGTGCAGTGTTTAGTATTTTTTAAAGGATCTTACTTTACACCTCTCCCCAACTCCCATCTTCTAAGCCTGCGATTGAGGACATTTCTGCCATCAAGGTCTATTTGGGCAGATGAAAAGAAATAACTCAAGCTTCACACGAAGCTTTAATAATAAAATCCTGTTTGTTAAACATGAATAATCTCCAATTGTTCATTAGCGTTAAAATGGCAAATCACTAGACGGAAGACACAGAGGTCTAGGGTGATGCAGAGATGAGAAGGGAGGAGAAAAGATGGAGAAAAAGAAGACCAAAGAAGACCAGTGACTTCAGAGGGATCAGAAGACCCAAAGTATGATAAAATACAAGTATTTCAAATTGACAGAAAACTTAACCTCACTTTGTAGACAAGGTAACTGAAATACAAAGCCAAGCTCATCTCTAGTGAAACAAAGAATTAGGGATGCTATCAAGAAAACCTAAGCCCAATGAAATGGGTGTTTTTTGAGTTCTGCCATATAAATGGACAAAGAACTTTTTAGTGGAGAAGTTGTTGCACTTTACCACTATGATAGCTGCATCTTCTTGTCTATGATCCACAATCAAACACTATTCACAAGTACTTTCCATTCTTTGAAAACAAAACTATTTTCAGTACTGGGGACTGAAGGTGGGACCTTCACAGTGAGTTAACTCTCCAGCCCTTCCCCTTTTTATCATAAGACAAGGTCTTCCTATGTCTCTAAGTTGCCCAGGCTGAGCTTGAAGTTGTGATCCTCCCACCTTGGCCTCCCAAAATGCTAGGAACACAGGCCTGAGGGTCTGGCTCCCATTCAGTGAAATTCTGGTGACAGCTATCAAATTGTTGTTTCTGAAAACCTGAGATAAGTCCTTACAATGAAGTACAAACAAACTGTTTAGGAAAAACAGTGAAAGATAAAACATTCCATAGTCATTATTTGACCTGTTAACAGACCAATTAATACTCATGAGCTAGGACCAAATCCCTGCAATTATGTGTCCTGGGGAACATGCCCTCTTCATTTGCCCACATTCTAAGACAGTAATTCCAAACTCTCTTCATGGTGAACTATCACTCAGAAGAGAACTGGTGTCAAAGGTTGCTGGTGAGAGCCTCCCGGTTTCCTCATGAAAAGCCATCGTCATACCTGGAGTGAGGTCATGTCAGGTCTGTACTGCTTGCGGAAGCCTAGGTCATACATGAGGAACTTCAGCATTTCAAAGGCTTGCTCTTCACTCATGTGCAGAAGCAGGACTCCGGCCACAAAGCTGATCCCCTGACAGTAGCCCACTTCTTTGTCCAGCAAAGAATATGCTTTCAGAAGATTAAAAAGAGATAGCTGCCCTGCCCCAAGCTGTACTGAAAAGTAAGGGTGAGTAGGAAATGTCCTTCCTGCAGAGTAAAAACAGAGAAAAAAATTTTTTCAGATACTCTCATGCTTTGGAGATCAGAGTGAAAATATAAGTGATGAATACGGTGAGCTCCAGGAATAAGTGAACACCTTCTCCCAAATGAGGAATCTGACTGTTATGTGAATATCCATTAAGAGCCCACCAACCAGTCTCACTTTAGCTCTAGCTCTAGCTTACTGAGTCTTACATGCCAGGCTACTACTATCCTAATTCCACATATACAATACAAGGGAAAATAATTTTTGTTAGCCAATATTTCTTTTTAGCAAAACAAAACAAAATCCACAAACATATCCACGAGAGGTCCAGAAGATTAGAACATAAAATTTATCTTGATTGTACAATAAGTCAAGGCAAGTTCTAAATTCATATAAAGAACACCCTCTAACTGAAATCAGAGTTCTGTAAGAGGTATCATGTTACTTTAAAAGACGTCTGGGTACTCCATAAAGACATTTATCTCTGCTTTTCTTGTAATATGACTGGGAAAACACTTTAGTTTTCATTTTGCTTTGTGTTGAGTCTATTATTAAGGAAATACTTCTTTTCCAAATATCCTTTGTTGTCTATTCCTTAAAATCACATAGGCTCCTTTTCTTTCTTCAACATACACGAAAAGGACACATAAGTGTCTAATGTGAGCAAAAACCACAGAAGGCTGGGCTGATTTGAAGTACATTCCCCTATAAAATTTACCTCTGGGTATACAGTTACAAGGGCAATGCCAGCTGGCAAATGCATGCCAGTCCTGCATGCCTAAAAAGCTGGCACTGAGCACGAAGCAGACCCATCTTCTCCCCCATGACTGTATACGCTGATCTCAGACTTTTTTGTACCACACATGAAATGACTGTGAAATGATTGCTCATGGCAGAATTTGCAAGAATGCCGAAGTTTAAAACGTTTTCTACCACATATGCTTAAAAGTGATTTTTTTTTTTCCAGGAACTGATAAGATTAAGTGCAGAGTAAGGGGAAGAAATGAGAAAAATAACAAGAATATGCTGCAGAAACACAGATGGTTACAAATAGAGTGAACTAAGAAAATTTTTAAAGTATCATTTTACTGTCTTAAAAATTTTGCTAAAGAAAACTATAAATACCCTACCTATCCAAGAAATTGAGTCCAGCTCCAGTTCAGCTTCACTGGCCTGTCCCTGAAATCATCTCTCGCTGCGAGGATATAGGGGTTAATCCTGATGGTAACCCCTCAATCCTGGATTTCAACAATACTTAAGGGGGTCAGGGAGATGGCTCAGTAGAATAAGTGCTTGCCTGGCAAGCACAAGGGCCTGAGTTCAATCCCTGGTTCCATCAAAAAAAAAAAAAAAAAAAAAAACTTAAGGTCATGGATCCACAGCTCTGCAAGGGACATCCGGGATTGGTTGGTCCAAAGTCCCTTCCTAACAGAGAAGATGGAGACGCAAAAGCAGAGCAGTTTATCTCAGACCACAGTTGGTGGTAAAATCAGGACAAGAACTCTAGCGTTCAGTTTCTCTATAAAATTTCCAATTTATCTAGTGGGCCCAAGAAGGATTTCATTGAGCTAGGCTCTTTCCCAACAAAAGCCACTTGCTATCCAAAAGGAACAGAAGTAAAACCCAAGTTTGGTCAGTGGTATTTTATAAATCCTACCATAAGATTATGCCAAATATAAATCAATCCTGTTGCCCTTCAGGGGTTTGAGTAACATCTGGCCATCTGAAATGTATCACAACTTTAGTACTCATGAAATAGTCAAGTAACAATATTAAGGTATTTTAAAATAATAAAGTATACACGATAATATCATATAGAAAAATCGAAAATATGATCTTTAAATCATACCATTTTTATTTTCCGCAGTTATAGGAAACTCAGCATTAAAAAGACTGCTTTATGTTGATAATGGAAATCTCCCCCCTCCCCAAGTATAAGCACTCATCTATCAGCAGTGAGACAGTTTTTCATCCACCTGATAGGTGGTATGTATGTTTTCCACAAAATCCTTTACTATACTGCTTTTTTTCTAGGGGAAAAAAAAAGTGACTCACTCCTTTCCTTTTGTAAAGAGTAGAAGACCAGGTCCACCTGGCACTGGCTACTCCTACACCTGCAGGCTTCCCAGAACCACCCAACCACTCATGGAGCCAGAGGCAGACAACTATTGTATTGCTCCTGAAAAAGATACCTCAAGATTTGCTTCCATCCATACATGCAACAATTCTTAAAACATCTTCGTTAAATTTTCTGCTCTCCATTTAACCCATTTAAACTTAAATCAACATCAGCTTACATTAAGATATAGTCCTCCATCCCAAGCAAAAGCCATTTGCTCAAAACACAGTATCTGGAGCACTCCATAATATGACCTCTGTAGCAATGTGGATCGTAAGGGGATTCCTTTTTCATAAAGTTTTGGGGTACAAATTCCATTTTATACTTGGGCATGTGTGGAGCATTCAGTCAGGTATAAAGCCATCTTACCACAGAAACAAAGGCCAGCAGACAGTGGGTACCAACAAATCCTCTCCGTCAGTACCAACCAACAAAAAGAAAAAATCTGCTCACTTGCATAAACTCCAGTCAGAGCCACACATACCCAAGTCCACCAGGATCGCGTGCTGCTGAGCGGTGAGCTGCTTTAGAAGCTCCTTGTAGGACGTGTCAGGGGGCTGGTGCTTATTAGGCAGCCGGTGTCGCAGCCGGTACTGCAAAGCTAGGAACTGCCAAATTTCTCCTCGTCGACTCTTGGGAACTCCTAGAATCAAAAAGATTAAGAACAAAGCAGAGCAAAAAGAAAAAGAGCCCTGGAATCACGTTGCTAAGCTGTAGCTGGTAAACTACGTACTGTCCTGCACCCCATCCCCGGGGCACACGGTACAGTGTCCGCACGAAGCATACTGTGTGACAAGCTACAGCTCCTGACACTTTGCAGATGAAAGCCTCCAAAGAATGCTAACGATGATAGCTATATTAGTGGTAATATCAACCAACAGAGATTCACCACCAAATAAAACGATTGAAAAGTTTTCACTACTGAGCATTGTCATTCACAAAGAGAGAAAAACGCTGTGAGGAGATAGCCAATTATGATCAGTACCACTTTACAGCTGCAAAAGGTTGCAAATAGCGATTAAATAGCTTGCCCCAGTTCACACAGCTAGTAAGTGACCACAGAGAATCAGAGCTCTCAAAGTCTGGTTTTAGGAGCCAAATCCTAAAATCTCAAAATTTGTAACCACCCAACTTCACCTTTTATTTGGCATAAAGTCAGCAACAAATGCTAATCCTCACATTATAATTTCTAAACGTTTGTCATCCACAAATATTGTAAAACCAATAATTAAGTCATTCCTATATAGCTGTCATAAAAGCACAAGACAATAAAAATAGGAAGCACAACAAGAAGGTATAACTGAAGCACTCGAGAACTACATTCAGCCATTATGAACAAAATACTTAGCACTTCTAATGAAATATTAACTCTACTACACTTAAAATCCAAAGAATAGTTGAAAGTATGCTAAAACTATGTTTTTCTATAAAGAGACAGGGAGTGGAAATGACAAAAATTTCATGCTACAAGGTATACATAACTTTGTTGTACTAAGTTTGCAATTCATGAACTAGATAACAGCTTCATCAACTCCAGTTGGTTAAGGAAAAGTTCAAAGGCAGTTGTCTCTCCTGACTACAATCCTAGAGCTTGCAAAAGGTAAAATATTATTGCCCAGCAGGTAAACCTCAGGCTTGACCTGATTTAGAAAGCTCCCACCAAGGGCCAGCAAGATAGCTCAGTGGACTAAGCACCTACACAGGCAAGCACAGGGGTCAGGGCTTTGATCCCTGCCACCATATTCTATGCCAGGCCCGCCCCCGGGGCACACTAAGCCAACCACTGAGACCTATCGTGGTGGCACACATCTGTAATCCCAGTGTTGCGGAGGCTGAAAACAGGAGAATCACTACAATCCAAGCTGTGTAGTGAGACCCTGTACCAAACACATATTAAAGAAAAAAAAAACTACAGAAATTAGAAACCTCTCAGCACAACACAGGTCCAAGCTGCCTTTGCTGGTCCCTGGCGCCACGCTCAGCCATAGGACAGAAGATTGTGGTTATTTCCACATCTCAAATTTCTAGCTCCTGCTGTTTCTTTTATGGACTTCCACGCTCCCTGATCTTATGGCCCAAACTGTTATTGTTATCCAAGCTCTCGTGGATAAGCTTGAGTGCTATCCTTTCTGCTCAAATGTTCGCTATTATCTTTTAGAACACCCTTTTTCTCATAGAATTTGATCCATATTGTAATGCTGCCATGTTGGCTTACACTTAACTCTGACCATATGCTTGTCTATTTTCCCCACTGTGGATAGTGAGGTCATTGGGAGCAGGGAGCAGACGTCCATCTCTGAAGGATGAAATCCAAGAACATATCTTGCTACTTAAATGTATGCTGAATTAATTAATGAATAACCACACATAAAGTGTCATTTTTAGGGGCTGAGGAGATAGCTAAGTAGAATAAGCACTTGCCTTCCAAGTGCAGGGTCCTGAGTTCAATCCCCGGTCCAGCCAAAAAAAAAAAAAAAAAGGTCATTTTTAAAGAATAACTTTCATTAGCCAATTAATCGTTATTGATTTGAGTGAGCTGTTTTATTACCCATGTAACAAGTGAACAAAAAGTTAACTCGTGTTAATTAAATAAGCATTAATTGGCCCAAACATGAACTAGGCCTCCAGTACATGATGAAGCACAGAGATGGTTCTGAGAATATTCTCAGAGAGATGATGTTTTAGTTGATATACTGTGTCAACTTGGCTGAATCAGCTTGGGCAGTTCACAGCGTGGGGGTCTAGCTCTGCAGGTGGGCAGGGACCAGGAATTCCAAAAGTCTTCCTGCCATCCTGCTCCGCTTCCGTGGAGAAGTCCCATTCTTTGGAGGAGCTTGATCTTTGCAGCTGTGCCACTTTGGATGAACTACCACCTTCGCTGTGGAGCACCGGTCTTCGCGGTCAGCACAGAAGAAGACAGAGGCTTGATGGATGCAGCTAAGTAGAATAAGCGCTTGCCTGGCAAACGCAGGGTCCTGAGTTCAATCCCCGGTAACGCAAAAAAAAAAAAAAAGTCATTTTTAGAGAATAACATTTATTAGCCAATTAATCATTGAGTGGGCTGTTTTATTACCCATGCAACAAGTGAACAAAAAGTTAACTCATGTTAATTAAACAAAACATTAATTGGCCCAAACATTAACTAGGCCTCCAGTTCGTAATGGAGCTCAGAGACAGTTCTGAGAATATGTGGTCTCAGAGAGATGATGTTAGTTGATTCACTGTGTCAACTTGACTGAATCAACTCCAGCTTGGGGGGCTCGCCCTGCAGGTGGGCAGGGCCCAGGAATTGAGAAAGGCTTCCTGCGTTCCTGGCTGCCTTCCTGCCACCCTGACCCTGCTTCCGTGGGGAAGTCCCAGTCTTCAGAGGAGCTTGATCTTCACAGCTGCTCAATCTTCGCTGTGGAGCGCCAGTCTTCGCAGTCAGCATACAAGGAAGAGAGAGACTTGATGGACACAGCTGAGAAGAATAAGCGCTTGCCTGACAAGCACAAGGTCCTGAGTTCAATCCCCAGCACCAACAAAAAAATAAATAAATAAATAAATATGGGGTAATAACAAGAGTAAATATAATACAGTGGCTATATGAGAAAGCTTTGTTCAACAGACCCAGAGCACAGGCCCAGCAAGTGAGACCGTCTGGGGCAGCCGGATCCTGAATAGACCCAGAGCGCAGGCCCAGCAAGTGAGACAACCCGGAGCTGCCAGATCCTCAATAGACTCAGAGCGCAGGCCCAGCGAGTGAGTGAGATGACCCAGGGCCCACGGATCCTAAATAGACCCAGAGCCCAGGCCGGGCGAGTGAGCGAGACTGCCCAGGACCACCGGATTCTGAACAGACCCAGAGCCCAGGCCCAGTGTGTGAGACCACCCGGGGCCTGCCAGATCCTGAACTGACCCAGAGCGCAGGCCCGGCGTGGAACCCTTCAGCAGAACTCCCTGCAAAGAGGCTAGAGGCAAGACCCACCCAGCTGATTCAGGAGCAGAACATCTTGCCAGAATGACACAAAGGGTTCAACTCCAACGGCTGCAGCAGGAAGCTCCAAC